GAAAACTGAAGGCGGGGCGGCCGGAGTGTGTGCTTGGCGAATTGACTGGCCTCCCCTTTCATCATCACAGTTGAGTTTGGCTGGACGTCGTGACGAGGCTTTGGCATCGGTGGTCCACGTCGCGTGGCTGGCCACTGGCCTCCAATGATCGGCAGGCATATCCACGGGGAAATCCAGGCGAATGATGAGCTTCGACAGCCCAGCACCCCTGGACGGGCGGGCATAGATGCAGATAGGCTTAGATGAGATGAGAATATGAATATGAGATGGTCCCTCGCCCTCGGGCCTCTGCTGGCTGCCTCAATGATCATGCTACTGATTGACTGAACAACCATGAGCCGATGGATGGAATTGGATAGATCTGTGCGCACGTTAGCCGTACGTGCTCTGTTCCCTGCCCTGCACGGCCCGATCTGCCGGCTGCCGCCGTTGGGGAGAAGAGCAAGGGGGTCCGCCTCGTTGCGATCGCGACTGGTGTTAGACGGGTCGACAGCGCCAGCAAATCGGGCAGCAGTTGGGCTGTGCAGGCAGGTGCGTCTCTGCGCTGCGCCGTGCGCTGCACTGGGCACATGGACGGCTCGGATCAGCCGGCCGCAGCTTGGCACGTTCAACGCCGAACAAGCGGTTACAGGCAGGTGGTGGACTTGGGAGATATCGGACTGGTTAAGTTGCGACGTGCCCGTTGGCGGTTAGTTGACGCGCGCACGGCGTGCGGGGACCGGCCGGTGGCAACGGGCGCCACACGGCGTACGCCGCGGGCCGTGCATGCGGGCGGTGCGCCGAGCGGGGAGGAGGATCGGCGGGAGGCACGCCACACGGATTATGAATTACACATATAACTATTATAATATGGATTATGAATTATAATAATCGAAGTGTTTGGATTCTTGGATGATTGTGGTGGGTTATATATTCTTAGTTCAAGTGAAAAGTACTTATAATCATAAAAAAACAGATATAGGATTATTGTAATCTGGTGTTTTAATTAATTTGTAATAATCTACCTCATAATCTAACACGTTTGGATCACAATGAAATTAAACTATTTTTTGCTGATTATTATAATTAAATAGATCCAAACATGCCCTAATAATTAGGACCTACTAGTATCAAACAGGTTCTGGTACTACGACAAGTATCTAATTATAATATAGAGTGTACTAGCATACGAGAATCCCAGATGAGTACGACGAAGCTTCAAACGGGATTGTTTGCCGCAGTGGGCTGGGCCTGAGATTCACCACCGCCCGGCCATGAAGCAATCGATCGATTATTCCTGATTCTTCCCTTGCATCATGGAGACACGTATATTACGCGGATAGATGACGACGACGACCCCCGGCCCGACCGGCAGCGTTGCTGTAGGCAGCTAGCAGCTCTGGTGATTCCGGACAGCCAACATCAACGCAACGGCCTACGGCCACACAGGCCATGCGCGCACGGCGACGCCACGCCACGCCGGTACGCCGAGCGGCGCCCGCCCGCCTCTAGCATGCTTCCCTTCCATCTCGATCGTCTCCTGCTTTCCGTTCCGTCCCGCGCGCCGCGGCCGGCACATACTCGGCATATGCATACATGCTGCTGAAACCAGCAGCAGCGCGGCGCGCACCGGCCGGCCCCGTGGTCGCCCCGACGGCCCGACACCACCTCCCTTTACGCGTCATGATATGCCGCGTGATGGCTCTCGCTCACGCGCGCGGTCGCGTTCTCGCTCGTTGGCCACGGCGCTCACACCATCGGTAGGCTCGCATATGTTTCCACCGATCTAGAACGTCGTACGAGGGCGACCGGTGGGTGGATGGATCGGATCCCGGCGGGCCTGCCTAATAATGAGGGCGTACTGTACGTACGTTCCAGAATGACAGCTGATAGATGACGCGGAAACTAATTAACCCCGCACGCTTGTCCCGTGATAGTTAACGCGGCCATCTGGATCATTAGACGACTCCTGGAAACTGAAAGTTCGTCCTGGCACGCACAATCATTGAGCCGTATATATATATATATAAAGAAGGGGTGCGTGTATAGACACGTACACCTGCAGACAGGTCCAAGCCACACAGGGCGCGCGGCAGAGGCTTCTCTTCTCTAGCTGTCTCTCATGTCAGCATCCAACACTGTAGTCTGACGTACGTACAAACGCTCATCAGTATGTACTGTATGTGTTGTAGAAGACTAGAAGCATCTCAATCTAGTAATCGGTGTACAGGGAGGATCAATCCTAAAACTACGCCCTCGGACGACGATGATCATATTGACCTGTGTGAATGAAACAAAAACAAAAGACAAAAGAAGCTACGTACTCCTGTCGAAAAGGGAGAAAGTAGACCGAGAGGGACAGAATTACAGCATGCATGCACAAAAATATACATGGATGGACTGGATCCAGTGCTAGGAATCATCAAGCTACGGCTATTTGGACTACCCTATCAAGCCTATGATTGATTGATTAGCTGCTGATGGGAACACGAACAACTAAAACTTAACCCTCCGGATCGTATGTTACTTGTGACGTACGCGAGCTGAGGTGGATGGAGTGGAGTGTACGTGGTATTATCTGCAGTGGTGGGCGGTGCTCTGTCTGCTGCTGCTCATCATCATCATGCACGAGCCGAGATAGATGCGCATGAAGGCGCCAATCCTCAGCAGGCGGCGGAGTGGGTGAAGGGGTTGAAGAAGTGGTGGGTGGCTGCCTTGGGCCTGTCGGGCTCGGCCTTGGCGGCCGCGGCGGGCCCGGCCAGACGCTCGCAGGACGGGCAGAGGCTCAGCGTGGCGGCCGGCAGCTGCATCTGCATGTAGAACGGCGGCGGCGGCGGCGCCGTTGGCACTAAGCCCGCCGCCGCGACCGCCTGCGGCGCCGCAGACGACGGCGGCGCCTGTGGGTGTGGCGGGGCGAACTTGAGCGCGCGGAGCTCCTGCAGCTCCCGCTGCAGGCGGCGGTTCTCCTCGGTCAGCGACTCGCAGCAGCGCTTGAGGAGCTCGCAGTCCACCTCCGTCTGCCTCAGCTTCGTCCTGCGCGCGCGGCTAAACCACGTTAATTCATCAACCGTACGTCAGCAGAGCTTAGTCCTAATTAAATCCAAGCATATATAGTAGGGATATCTTTATCTTCTGTGGGCTCGCTGGTTTGCGTGCGTGCATGGCAAGGGCGCAAGCGAAACCGTCTTCGGGACATTTTTCAATCAAAAACAAAAAAAAACTTTTTGATGGGAGTGCGTGCGTATCGCGCAATACAGGAGTACTAACCTTGCTCGCCTGTTTTGGAACCACACCTCCACCTGGCGTGGCCTCAGGTTGAGTTGCTTCGCCAACGCGACTTTCTGCTTCTGCTCAAAGCCAAAAGGACACCCCAACAGAAAGCAAAAGGAGCATGTTCAGAAATAACTCATCTCGAATTCTCGACAGTGGAAAAGTAATGAAGGAGAATATCTGTACGTACTTCTTTGGTGACATATTATTAAAATACATATATAGGCAAAAAGAGATAACTAGTAGTATATGCAGTCGACTAATCCGATGTAGTCAAGTGCAGCTATTTGTGGTGTGGTGTGGTGTGGCCAGCAAGCAGCAAAGCAATCAGTCAATCGATGATCGGGAGCCACCGATCGAACGTGTCGCGCACGCAGGGGCAGAGTAGTACGTACCGGGTTGAGGGTGCTGTGCTCCTTGAAGCGGTCCTCCAGGAGCGCGGACTGCTCCTTGGTCAGCCTCAGCTTCTTCCGCGTGCTCCCGTCGTCGTCGTCCTCGGCGCCGGCCCGCGCCGCCGCCGCGCCCGTCGACGACGCCCGCTCGCCCTCGGCGTCGTCCACGCGCTCCCTCTTCACGCCCGCCACTGACAGCGACGACACGCTGTGCGCGGTCCTGCCGCCGCCACCGCCGCCGCCGGACCCGGTCGCGGTGGCGGTCGCGGTCGCTTCGTCCGGCATGCTCAGCGTCAGCGACGGCTCCAGCGGGCACGGCGACGGCAGCCGCGTCTCCATGCTCAGCCGGATGCCGGTACCGTGGCGCGCCGCATCAGAGGCGCCGCCGCCGCCGCCGAGGGACAGGCCCAGCACCAGGCCGGCATCGTCCAGGTGGTAGACGTCCTCCTGAGCCATGGCGTGCGCTCAGGACCAGAAGACGAGCTAGCTAGCGGTATGTAGCCGCCACTTCAGTTAGAGCTGGGTTTCCCTCTGACGGCCGGCGGGGTGCAAGCTGAGCGTTTGGGTGTGAATGTGCAGGGGAGAGGAAGCGAAAGCCAGGAAGGTGAGGGGAAGGAGGCAAGGAATGAAATGGTTGAGGAGGAATGAGGAGGGCGGGCGAGGGCGAGAATATTTGAGGAGGAGCGGAGCCGGCAAGGGACACGCGGATGCACGCGCACATCACGCGCACGTACGTCCGCGACGAGCCCACGCTTTGACACTTGCTGCAGAGAGCAGAGGAGAACCTTTGACAAGGCCATCAGAGGTTGTTTACCTCAGCAGCTCAGCTGGGGTCCAACTCCAACTGAGCTATTTTACAGAGGTCGGCCACGTGGACGCGCCTATGCAGAGGCAGGCAGGCAGAATACTAAAACGCACACATCGTTCTCATTTGCTCAAATGAATGCCCAGCAGCAGCAGCGGTAGGAGTACTACTTTGCGCCATTTCTTCCAATATCATGTGTAGTGCAAAAGGAAAACCATGTTATGCAAATCGACCAAGAGAGAGAGAGAGAGAGAGAAAAGATGCAAAGAGAACGTTCTGGAGCAGTTAGGGTACGACGTACGTGTATGCAACTATCAGCCTGTTTTGGCTCGTGCTCGTCTTATACGATCGTAAATTTTCAGCGGGAATAGTATTTTTCTCTCACAAACCAGTAAAGACTACTTCTTCATTTAAGCAAAGAACGATATGAACCGAGTCAACCGAACATCTTTGTATATATATGTTTATATTTATACACATAAGCGATCCTCCCTGAATTATATACCATGTTGTTCTTCTCTGTTACTTTGATTTTAGAACAAGCTGAGGTACCTCAAAATGATGATGATTGATGCATGCAAGGTATATTGCTTGGCATCTACTAGGATTACTCGCTCCTATTCCTATCTACTGGGGATGAAGAGGAAGAAGCACCGCATCAAGTGCTTGTCTGTGAGATTGTGGCAACATTACTCATCACCCACTCAGCCAACCATGCATGTCGTCTGTGATGATGCTCATTTACTGGTTGGTCTAGCTTCAATTCTAGCTGGGTGCCTTCCTCCCAATGTTTCAATTCTAGCTGGGTGCCTTCCTCCCAATGTCCGGTTACTTTCCTTCTCCATCCAGCAGCCCCAGCAGAGCTTTTTCTCCCTTTTCTGATCCTAACCTTTCGTAGCAATCGCGTCAGTTTTTTTCCCCTTAACAAAACACACTATAGACATAGCTACTTACTCATGTTTGGAATTATGGTCCATCACTAAGGGATTGTTTGGAACACGGGAAGTTTTACTTGTTTCCACGTTTTTTCTGTGAAATTGAATTGATTCATGTAAAATTCTTATATGAATCTTGCAAATTTTTGCGTTCAAAACGGACCATAAAAGAATCAGTATTATCCTAAATGGTAAACTATAAACAGACGGTCACTTGCCGTTTAGTCATTATTTAGACTAATTGGCCACTTAAACGAGCAAAACAGCGGATAAACGGTCGATTTAACGAAAACGATCTTGTAGCGTTTAGGCGAACGATGAAAAGACTATAATATAATTAACAAAAAAATGAACACTAGTATTAATTTGGAGATTTAAGGCCTGTTTGGGAGGGTTTCTCTAGGCCGACCCTTTGCTATGATACCCAAAGGAGTTAGAGCTAGTGACGGCAATTTTCTAGTTTCACTAGCTTTAATCCATTTTAAAGAAAAGAAAAAAGATAAAGACAGTTTCTTGCTACATATTGTATAAAATTTATTAGAAGCTAGAGCTATTTTACAGAAGATTCTATTCCAAATGACACAACCATCTAACCTGTCGTCAATTCGTGTAGCTGCCGCCTCTGCCGAACCTTCGTCACACAAATTCCAGCGGGTTGGACTCGTGGCCTGTTGCCCTCTTTCCACACCACCTCACAGCAACTGCTTTCCACATCGGACACCGAACACTGGCTCTGGAAAATGAGAGGAAAAAAGAACATAGGAAAAGGGCTTCAGGAGGGCTGTCGGGGCAGGCAGGGCCTGTTGCTCCATCCTGTGACAAACACCTTTCCAATGATAGGTCTGGAGTTTACATTACACGCATCCTTGACTGGCTGATTAATCTCGGTCCCGTGCTGATTAGGGGCGTGGGTGGATTAACTACCGGAGCGATTTGCTCATCACTGTGTCCTTGTTTGGTTGGCCTGCAGCTGCCTTGCGTTGCGTGTCGCCCTGTTCACCACATGGCCTGCCTGCCGCTGCCGGGATGAACAGGCGGAGGCAGAGTAACGGAACGGAATAGAACCATCGAGTGCCGGTGTTTGTCATCCAACCGCGTGTGCATCATGGATTCTGAATGATGATGGTGGGGGCATGCAGATTGTAATTTATACTTTCTGCGAAACACAGTACAGTTTATATGCCGGCTAAATAAACACGGCTCTTCGAATGTTTAGCAAGTGACATAGTTTATTGACCTTTTTAGCCGTACATCTCAGTATCTGACCCACATACTTTTGTAGATATATGTACGTCTAATTTGATTTCTGATAAAAAAAATGACGATGTCAAAAAGAAACAACTTATCTTCTTTTTAGTGTAGTTGTACATGTGCCCAAAAATATACAAGAGAAATTCATATATTTACTGTCCCGAAGTAATCCATGGGTTACTGAGGAATGACGGAACAACAACGGTAGTCACGGGAATTACAAACTGTGCTTAATTTACAGAATTAATTTGCGAGAAATTGTCGCCGTTCCACCGTATGGGTCGAACTGGTCTGTTCCTGTGCGTCCTCTGTTTCTTGTTTGAACTAAATCTGTAATTCCTTTTTTAATAAAAGTGCTGTAGGGGTGCAAACCCCTCTAGTTTCCCTAAAAAAAACGTATGGGTCGAACGTTTTGCTAGTTGTGCAAGTTCGTGCACGGAATAATCCACTTGGATTGATAGAAAAGATAAACTAATCTTTCTAGCTGGAGACTCCTGTTGAGCATCCGCGTTAATACTGATGAAACATATTAGAAAAAATATAAATCCTACAAATGCTTACAAAATCACAAAATTTCTAGCCAGTAATTTAATAGAGGCCGATCATTATTAACAACAATACCCATCGGCTCTTCTTTCTCCGTCCAACAAAGAGTGTTGCATATGGTTTCGTGCTAATCAATCTTTCTTAAGTTTGACTAGCTATATTTATAGAAAATATTAGCAACATTTATATCTCCAAATAAGTTTATTCTAGAAATTTATTCAGCGACTAATCTAATAATCTAATTCTGTACCATAAGTATTAATATTCTCTTATATATACTTGGTCACAAAGTTAAAAATATTTTGACTTATCAAGAAGTGAGAATGATACCCTTTGTGAGACGAAGGGAGTATCTTCTAAGAAAAATTACCCACATTTACCATTTCATATAAAAATAGTCTAAGTAACATGAATTTGTATCTAAATTATCCATCGTCGCCATTATAAAAACGTACTAAAATCAATCCCTAATATTTGTCTAAATTATCGACCTATGTAATCTAAAGTAACCCTCTAAATTAGCATTTGAATTATCCACCTCTTCCATTATTAATAATATAGTAAAAGAACTAACTCAAGATATACATTCATGATATATGTCACAATCCATACATATACAACATGTGTCAAACATAAGGAGGTGCGACGAAAAGGAGACAATTATAAATGGCAACAAAAAAGTATATAAAGTAATTGGTAAATTAAATGCAATAACCGGATAAAAATAAGAAACTATTTATATAAGTGTATTGTGTTAGAATATGACAAACGGGGGATAATTTTTACTAAAAGCATGTAGAAATGCATGAGATCAATGCAAAAGGAGAAACATTATGAATTGGAATGGATGGATGGAAACTTATATAGAGTAATTGGTAACTAGAATAATCTATGTCAACTAGATAAAGACAAGAAGTACCGAATATATTGTGTTAGAATATGAGAAATGAGAGAGAGCAAAGATAAACAACTTTGATTAATTGTGTGCACCGTAAGGAACTAAGATACAAGGCAGGTTGCTCAGGAACCCGCAAAGTATCCCTATAGCGAACACAAATAATTTATCAAAGTTGTTTCTGTGAGTAGCCGGTATTTCTGTGAGTTTTATTATTTTTGCCTCAACTAGCCAACAGTTCTTTGAGTATAAATTTGCATTTTCCCAACTGTTTATCAAATCCCAATAAACTAATCACCCACAATTATAGTAGTTAGTTATCCAAATATACTAAAAATTGTTAGGCATTTGTAAAAAATTGTTGGAAAAAAATCATTAGTCTTGTAATGATGGAGCAAAAACTTACCTATAAATATTACACTTATGTCGCTTAAAACTACCAGCCCGTGTAGTAGCATTGGTCTGATGTAGCAGTAGTTTTAACTAACTAGAAAGCATACCACGAAGCGTTGTTGTAGGAATCACGAATAAATTTTAATTAGTGGATCGTATGGCATTGGCTGACATGGACAAATAAATACCTATTAATGGATGACGTGGCTTGCAAATGCGGATAGCTTGCATGAATAAATATGCTTTAGAATTACGTGCGCTAGTGGGCTGCTGACGTAGAAGGCTTGCATGTTGAGATTGACTTCTAGTTGGGTTTTAGGATTATAAAAGATAAGAGATTTCCACACCAATCCAAATCTCTGCCGTAGCAAACATTATTGCCTTCAAATGTTATTTCCTCCCACATTCTAGCATCTTGCATTGGCAGACTTACTAATTCTCAACCACAATACAAGACGTAGCAGCACGGCCATTTTTGTGCAGTGGGAACGCCTTATAAGTTATACTCTACCAAATAAGTATATACGATGGCAGACAGCCATACATACCTTTTTTAGCGGTGATATATATTACCATTTGCCCATCTCGCCGCCTTACACGTATCCAAGATGATTGCACCATGATCTATCAG